TGGTTGAGAAGCGACGCCAGCCCAATCTCCAGCGATTATTGGAGGGCAAGCGACCACAACTGGTGAAAAGCGAGCTGGCGTCGCGCCAAATAGTGCTTCCCTGACATGCCTCAGCGTCTGCAGCGGAACGACCATATAATCCTGGTGTTGTAAGCGGTACAGAGATGAGGTATCCTTGAGGGTAGTATTAGTTTTGTTGCTCGAAAGTCCATAGCAAGCACGTCGGGGGCTTGTGATATTAAGATGAGCGCAGTCACCTGGCCAAGTGCATCTCTCCCACTGACAGACTCTTCCCTTTGTAATGTCGTAGGGCGTACCAACTAGGAAAACGCAGGGATCCACTCTTACGATTACCGTAGAATTTTGTGTTCGAAGACTCCCACCGTAATGCCGCAAAAGGGGCTCTCTCATTCATCTGTGTACAACCAATATTCCTACAAGCAGAGGGCGTATGAGAGCTATTCTTCCGGGCTCGAGATGACATTATTGGTGGAAATGGCCAGCGTAACTGTGCTCCAATCTACACGAGAAATTCCTAAGTTGCGGTAGGCGTGGCTGCGTACTTCAACTAAACGTGACGGTGGCTGTGCTTTTGGTGAGATATTTTCATTTTGACACAATTGTGGTCATGTCTCTGTCCAACACAGAACAAGATGACAGTTGTCTCAAATTGGAATATTCCACGAGTAACCCATTCCGTGCCATGTTCAAATGCCACGCCTACTCCGTCTCAGGGATAAGAGGTATACGTCCCTACGCCTTCTTATTTGCTGGCAGGATATAGCATCGTGACGTGAATGGTGGTGTAGGCACGATTCTTCCCCCCCCCCCTTGAGAGAGGTTGTCAGTACGACCCCTCCATCCTTCTCTCAACACCTACCTATAAATTTCCCACTTTTCCAGTTTTTCACCCAGGAATTTTCCGTCGAGCGGAGGGGCGGGAAATACATAGTACCCAATGAAACAGAAAAAATCACGAGAAAAGTCAACAATCGGGAAGAATTTTTTTCTAACGCGGCAAATTTTTCTCAAGCCGACCTCCCTTCCAGCGACCAAATACGACCCCCCTCTCTGCGGAAAAGTACGACACCTTATGTGTTTCACATCACGATGCTGCACCCTGTTTGCTGGTGTAATGACTGTACACGTTCCCCATAGCACTCTTGCATAGGGCCATATTCAGGATGTTTCCGACGGTTTGCTTTTTATGTTGTTCCTGACGAGTCCGCTTATCGTTGTGGTGTTTACAAGTGCGTATTTCCACTCAAGTATCCACGCCTTCTTATTGCGGACTAGGACTTAAACCAAATCTTAAGTGGTGGGCTGTGAGCCCAAACTATTCATTTGAAAAGTTGTAATGTCTAATTTGTGAAACGGAATAATTATGCAACCACTCACTGGCTCCCAGTCGCTCGCCCGCTTCTTCCAGTGATTCATGCGCTTTTAGAAGGATCGCTGGCAGATTGTTCTGATGTTCCTAAATGAATTCATTTTGGATGTTTATTAGAACTTTTCGAGAACGAATGGACAATCAGAGAGTACGGACGGCTTACCGTATTAAGTAGAATCCGCTTGAGAATGGTTTGAATAGTTTTTGGAAGCTCGTAATTGGACGAGCCATCAATCATGCCAAAAACGTCACCGCAATGAATCCGGCGAATGCACAGTCTGAAGTGGTACAAAGAAGCGCCTAGTTAAAGTCGTCATCCGGGCGGTTTATTAGGTG